GAGGTACAACTTCGACTCGTCACCTTCCTCAGGTTGGGTCAAAAGCGGTGCAGTACTTAAATACTTTTTCAGCTCATCAAACGCGAGATGACACTCTTTGGTCCATAGAAATTCTTCATTCTCTTTTATTGCTTTAAAAAATGGTAGACACCGACCCTCCGATTTGGAGATAAACCGATTTAGGGCAGCTACCCAGCCTGTTAGTCTTTGGACCTCTTTTATCTTTTGGGGCAATCTCATATCTAATATGGCCATAATTTTATCAGGGTTGGCTTCGATGCCACGTTGGTTCACTATATAACTGAGGAATTTGCTCGACGTGACCCTGAAGACACACTTGTTCGAGTTGAGCTTCATGTTAAATTTTCTCAAAATTTGAAAAATAGAGTTTAAATCATCGATTAAACAGTTTGAGTACTGGGTCTTCACGACCATGTTGTCAACATAACACTCTATTTTATTACCGATCAACGATTCAAAAATTTTATTTACAAGTCGCTGGAAAGTTGCTCCAGCGTTTTTTAAACCAAAAGGGCATGATTTTGCAACAGTACAACCCAAGCTCAGTTACAAAAGCGGTATGGTCCTGGTAAGCTATGTCCATCCTATTCTGGTTGTAGTCGGAGTAGGTGCCCATAAAGCTCATCAACTCGTGCCCCAAGGTCGGGTCTACCAGGTGGTCTATCCTAGGAAGGGAGAAGCAGTCCTTCGGGCAGTCTCTGTTCAGGTCGGTGTAGTCAACGCACATGTGCCACTTTTCGTTGGTCTTCTTCACTAGCACGGGGTTGGCCACCTAGCTCGGGTAATGGACCTCCCTGACGAAGTCTGCGGCGAGGAGTTTCCCAACCTCCTCATCAACTACCCTTCACCGTTCCGGGCCGAGGTTGCGTTTTCTTTGTCTAACTGGCCTGACTAAAGGGTCCATATTTAATTTGTGAATAATCACACTAAGGTTGATGCCGAGCGTTTCTGTTGCGGAGCAAGAAAAAACATCTAAGTTATTAAGTAAAAAACTTAGTAGTTGTGTTCGGAGCAGTTTGTTTATTAGAGCACCAATCTGGAGGGTCTTGGTTGGCTTGGTTTTGGAAACTGGTATATGGACTGTCTCCTCCATCGGGGTAGCTCACTCCTTGGTGTAGTTTGCTGGTTGCTCTAGCTCGACATCATCCGCCAACTTTGCCTTACCTTTTAGTGCAACCACGTAGCACTTGCGAGATTCAAGCTAATCGCCTCGTACGACCCCCACTTCGTAATTTATCGGGAACTTCATCGCCAAGTAGTATGTTGATACTATTGCACATAAACGTGTCAGATGGGCCGACCTACAATCGCATTGTAGGGGGACGGAGTCACGACCAAGGAAAGTATGCTCGAATTGCACTTTGTTTGGCCACGTCCCTGCCTCTACTGGTACCTTGATCTGGCCAAGGGGTCTGACTTCTTTGCCGCTAAACCCCACCAAGGGTGTATCTGTTGATTTCAAGTTGCTCTAGTTTAGTTGCAGCCTGTTGAAGGTTCCTTTGAATAGGATGTCGGTCGAACTGCCTGAGTCCACCAAGATCCGCTTCACTTTGAAATCATTTAAGACGAGCTTCACGATGAGAGCATCGTTGTGAGGATATTGTATCCCACGTGCATCATCCTCGGTGAAATAGATGGGCTCTTCCACCCAAGGTCGCTTCGGTGGGTTTTCTACTTCATGTTCCAATTCTCTGACCGAGATCTTCCCCGCTGCTGTAGTGCACCCCGCTACAATGGATCTGCCGGTGATCATGTTGATTACCCCACGGATCAGTCTTTCTTCAGGTAGCTGTCGAGGTGGCTGCTCAACTCCAAAGTGTCCCTCCTCCGGTCTCCTTATTGGTCCCCCTATTCTTTCTCCTCGTGCAAAATGTACTTTTTCAGGTATCCGTGGCGAATGAGCTCTTCGATCTCATTGCGGAGATTCCGATAGTTTTCTGTACTGTGACTGTGGTCTCGACAAATATGACAGTAGACATTCAGGTTCTTGGTCGTTGGGTCTTCCCGTAGCCTGGGTGGCCACTTGATGAAGGAGGAGTCCTTTATTGCCATCATGATTTCTCGTCGCTTCGTGTTGAGGGGGGTATAGGTTGTTCTCTCTACAAGAGGGGTTCTTGGTCGTTGGGTCTCCCCGTAGCTTGGGTGGCCACTTAATGATGGAGGAGTCCTTTATTGGCATCAGGATTTCTCGTCGCTTCGTGTTGAGGGGGGTATAGGTTGTTCTCTCTACAAGAGGGGTCCTGGATCGCTGACCTGACCTGTAACTCCGGGAGGGGACTTACTTCTTGAGCGAGGTGGACTTGCTTCTTCTTGGTGATTTGCTATTCTTTCTTTTGTGCTTGCCGTTGCTTGTTCCTTCTTCTCTTTTCCTCTTCTCGCCCTGTTGGCTTTCTAGTTTTTGGCCAAGCTGTTTTTCCGTGCTTATGAACCTCTCTACCAATGCTAGGAACTCCGTGATGTTCTTCGGGGATTTACTTCAACGTACCATCTGAACTCCTTGTGTGTAACTCTTTTCCATGTTGCGGTGAGGCGCACTACTAGATCGAGATCCGGTATCTGCCGACACGTTTCATTGAAACGCTTGATGTATCTCCGAATTGACTCATTTTCCCTCTGCACCACGGTCAGAAGGCTCTCTTGTGACTTCGGGCACTTCTTACTAGTGATGAAGTGGGCCATGAACATATCCACAAACTGTGCCCAACTTTTGGTCGAGCCCGACACGATGTTCCTGTACCAAATCCGAGCTAGTCCTTTGAAAGTGGTGGAGAAGGCTACACACATGCACGCTTTGTTTGCTCCGGCAAGATGCATCTGAGACTGGAAGGCGTCTACATGGTCATTAGGATTGAAAGTTCCGCCATACCTTTCCAACGAGGCACCTTGAAGTCCTTCGACATCAGGACTGCTAGTAGCTCGGGTGACAAGGGGGAGGGTCGGCTCAACAATGTTGGATCCGGTCGTGTAGCCACCGAACTCACTTCCTCCCTTTCCTTGCTTTGCTCCCGCGGTTGGCTACTTTTTGTTGGTGGGCTGTTTCAGGCTGAGGAACGACGAGTCTTGGGACGCCGCCACTGCTGTTTCTTCACTGGCTCTGCATTGGTGTTGCTGGCTTTAGTATGATCGAGTACTTCAATTTTGGTCCGGTCTCTCTCCCGAACACTGTTGTGAGGTGGATTAGGGTTCCTTCCTCCTACTTCTTCTTGGTCGCAAGACTGGTGTTGGCTGTTGCGAGGTGCTGAGGGGTCTTGTCTCATGCCCGCACCTCGGGCCCCAAGATGGCGATCGTCGAGCCGCGACTCGCGATTCTCAGGCCGTGAGTGTTGTTGTTGACTGATCCTTTCATGATGGCTGACCTCGTACCTATCTTTCGGGTTCCCCCTTTGAGAAACTAGGGGGTGTGTTGGTCGTCGGTCCTACCCCGAGGTGGGGTCCGGCCCCTCAACCTGTGAGTTTCCCTCACCCCGATGGGGAGATCTGCAAACGCCTTGATGAGGTTACTGGTGGCACGGGTGCTAGTTCTGGATATGATTCTGGTATTGACCTGGTTGCTGGTTCGGCTGCAGTGGTGGAAACTGCTGATGATACTACTGATAGAAATAGTATTACTGAAGCTGTTGGAACTGATGCATTTGCTGCATCAGAATCTGCATGGTTCTGACACTCTGAACTAGATCATCGAACTGGTGACACCCAACCCCAGGAGGAATTACCGAGGGTTCCGAGAAAGTGGTGTTTACCTGGGGGAGCGAGACGTTTATCTGTTGACTCGTCTACTACATTGACACAATGGAGACCCCTGAGGTAATGAGGGGGATGGTGAACTGCCCAATAGTCACTGAAGGGCCTTGAGGGAGTAATGCTAGGTGGTCTTGTCCCCTAGTGACGATTATGTCGATGCCCTTGCCGGTGTTACTTAGAGATGCCATTGAGAGAGAGAGAGAGTAAGGTGATGATGAGGTGTAAGGTTGATCTTTTGATTGTTTCCTACAGACGACACCAATTGATAGTGCGCGATCTGTAAGCTCCTAGCTGGAAGACTACCTGGACACTAATCACGTAGCGAGCTAGACCAAGCTGCAAGACAAAGGACTAGAGAACCTGGGGTGGCTAACCTGACGAGGTCACTCCGATGCTTAAGTTAGTATTGTACTTTGGTTGCGAGCTAAAAACTTGAATGCAAGTAGGCTAGTGAACAAGTAATCGCATGTACCTGAGTCTTGGGGGTTGATGCTCTTATATAGCTGGTCTGCCGTGGGTCTTGTGAAACGCTCCCGGAATCCTCGATCCGGGGATCCATTCCGCTTTGGAAGGAGAGAAATGTATCAGTTAATAAGGCTTACCGTTTCCCTCCGATTTGGGTGGGGCGAAGATAAGGCCTACAGTTACGCGACATCATCTTGAGAAATTCGGAGACAACTGGCAAGCTTCTGGGTTCGACCATGTGGCACCTTGGCGTGCGTGGATATCGAAGAGCCCCAGCTTCGAAGTGACCGAGCACCCGAAGTCCTGCGATCTACTGACATGATACCACATGCTGATTTGTCGTCTGGTTAGCGGGCCGCATCCACGCATCTTTTACTTATTTAGGTGGGGCCAAATCACTCTCGTCAAAACTCAAATTTTTTTCATGGTAGGTGATTAAAAACTCAATTTTATTCGAGTCGAAGTTCGATTTATTCGAGTTGAGTCAACTTTTCAAGCTAGATTCGTATCAACCCTCGTTGGCAAACTAACGCGCCACAGACATACCTGATACTGATATTGAGAGCCCAGGCTTTCGAATATGAAGAGACGTTTAAAGATTTTTCCAATGTAATCTTTCCATTACGATTAAACTCTGCATCGAACGGAATTTTATCTCTAACACAATAGAAGTTCCCTGAACTCGAGACCTAACTGAGAGATAACCGTAGAGAGAGTGGTAGCTCTGAATAAAACAGCAAAAGCCGGAGAGAGAGGGAGGGAGGGAGGGAGGGGCTTTCCCCACATTCAACAAACTGAGAAGATCAAAGCATCGGCTAGAGCTTTTCCATTTGGTGTTTAATCTCACAGCCACAGCCACAGGTAAGTTCCTTTATTTTCTCCTGTTTTATTCTTTTACAGATATGCGTTTTTAGGTGAATTTGTTTGTTTTTTCCTGTTCTGATTTGATGCTACAGGCTCTTCTTCTTGGAACATTTTTTTTTCCTGGTTCAACTTGTTGGCTTGTTGCCACATTTTTTTTTGATATTGTCGTATTTGTAGTGACTGGCAGCTGGTCGACTCTTTTCTCGTTCTTTGTTTGTAGGTTTTGCGGGTTTTTTTTTTTTTTAATTTTTGATGATTGGGTGAATCCAAGTATTGGCTATCATTTTTTCCCTATTTAACAAATTCATTTGCATATGTGGGCCTGCTGAAATTTGTACTGACCCTTATGCCTATATGTGCGTACTGTGTAACTTGTAAATTATGAAGAACAACCATTGGAACGAACAAAAAGATATTTTTTTCCTGTTTTTTGGTGTCAAGCTTGTTTGAGTTTTGGTCACTCAGCAATTTGGCTTTATTGTTCCATTGAAGGCTGGCATTTTTTTTTTGACAAATATACTTAATTTTTGATCTATATTCTTTTATCTAAACTGAAGTCCATTGCTTGTTGCAATGGTAAAATCTCGGGCTAACAAGCATGAAACCACTGTGTGCAAAAGAGACACCAAATCTTACGTTTCTATCCAGTCCATCCCTCTCAAGACCCTGGGTAGCTGGAACCAACATTAGTTAAACTCCCTTTCACTCGTTTTTTTTTTTTTTTGGCTGAATTCTGCAAGTAGTAGATGGCTTGCCCAATTTGTGATCTTTAAATGCTATTTTGGGTAACAATGCTTTGTATATTAAAGCATTGAAGGTCTTTTATGTATAGCCTCTTTGACTTTTTTAATATATTCTATATTAGAAATATGCTCAGAGTTTTCCTGCATTTCCTTACTTTCCCTCATCTTCTCTATTTTTTTTCATAAATAACTATTTTGGCATCGCACCCGAGTGTTGGAATGTCCAAATTGCTGAACTACCATCCAGAAAATCAATACAGCAATTGCCTGTTACATCTTTCTTTAGATTTACAAACTCTAATATCTGTTAGGAGAAATTTGATGAATCTGGCTTCTACTAGATAACCTATATGCTGAATTTGTTAGAAAATCAATGCAGCAATTGCCTCTCTCTGAGTATGCATTACTTGCACTTCCCATTCTTGGTTCAGGAGCTCCAAGGCATTTCCAGGAATCCTGGTGGTTTTCAAATTGGTTTGGTGGGCCTTCTATTCCTTAACATGGCTTTATCAGTTAGGCCACTTTTTAGGAGATTATTTACTGGACCAAAGGACATTATAGATAGAAGCAAAGGACTGTCAACCTTGGAAACCCAGTTGGATACACAGGTAGATTTGTTTGAAGCTAACTCTCACTTGAAGCAGCTAATTAAAACAGGTCATATAAATGATGCTCGTAGTTTGTTTGATAAAATGCTTCATAGAGATGAGATCACATGGACGACTATGATCTCTGGCTACATAGGTGCATCCAATGCAACTGAAGCATTGATTTTGTTCTCACACATGTGGACTGATCCAATGATCCGAATGGATCCATTCATTCTTAGTGTTGCACTTAAGGCTTGTGGGCGCATTTTGGAGTTGAAACCTGGGGAATCAATACATGGGTACTCTGTTAAATCTGGTTTTGTGAATTCTGTCTTTGTAGGAAGTGCCCTTTTAGACATGTATACAAAAGCTGGCTGCATTTCATTAGGTTGTAAAGTCTTTGACGAGATGCCAATGAGAAATGTGGTCTCTTGGACTGCTATAATTACTGGGCTTGTTAATGCTGGTTATAATAAGGGCGGGCTGATATACTTCTCGAAAATGTGGGGCTCAGATGTTGAATGTGACTCATACACGTTTACAATTGCATTGAAAGCATGTGCCAATTCAGGGTTTTTGACTTACGGCAAGGCTATCCACACAAAAACAATGAAGGCAGGCTTTGATGTAGGTTCGTTTGTAGCAAACACACTTGCTACCATGTACAATAAGTGTGGGAAATTGGAATATGGGTTGCGCTTATTTGAAAGGATGAGGACCCGTGATGTGGTTTCTTGGACGAGTATTATCGCCAGGTATATCCAGATGGGTCAAGATGAACAAGCTGTTCAAGCATTCATAAAGATGAGACAATCTGAAATTCAACCTAATGAATTCACTTTTTCCGCAGTCATTTCTGGCTGTGGTGCGCTTGCAAAAATTGAGTGGGGTGAGCAATTACATGCCCAAGTTTTGCACCTTGGTCTTATGAACTCCTTGTCAGTTGCTAATGCCATTATGACCATGTATTCAAAATGTGGATGTTTAACTTCAGCTTCTATAGTGTTTCATGGGATGCCTGGAAGAGATGTAGTATCATGGAGTGCAATAATTGCAGCATATTCACAGGAAGGCCTTGGTGAAGAAGCTTTAGGGTTTTTCTCTTTGATGAGGAGGGAGGGACTGAAACCTAATGAATTCACTCTTGCTAGCTTGTTGAGTGTTTGTGGAAACATGGCAATTCTTGAGCAAGGGAAGCAAGTACATGGCCATGTCCTCTCCATTGGAATAGAACATGATATTATGATAAATAGTGCCTTGATCAATATGTATTCGAAGTGTGGGAGCATAGGAGAGGCTTCGCGAATCTTTGATGCAGCAGGAGGTGAAGATGTTGTGTCATGGACAGCTATGATTAATGGCTATGCTGAACATGGGTACAGCAAGGAAGCTATTGATTTGTTTGAGAAGATGTCTAAGGTTGGATTGAAGCCAGATTATGTCACCTTCATTGGTGTACTTGGTGCCTGTAGCCATGCTGGTCTAGTTAATCTTGGTTTCCAATATTTCAATTCAATGAGTAAGGAGTACAATATTAATCCTGGGAAAGAACACTATGGCTGCATGATTGATCTCTTATGTCGGGCTGGACGGCTAAGTGATGCAGAACGCATGATAGATAACATGCCATTTAGACAGGATGATGTTGTTTGGTCAACATTGCTCAGAGCATCTATGGTCCATGGTGATGTAGAGTGTGGAAAACGAGCAGCAGAGCACATTCTTGAGTTGTATCCAAATTGTGCAGGGACTCACATCACACTCTCTAATATCTATGCAGCCACGGGGAGGTGGAGGGATGCTGCAGATATGAGGAAACTGATGAAATCAAAGGGAGTGATAAAGGAGCCAGGATGGTCTTGGATAAAGGTCAAGGAACAAGTCTCTGCATTTGTTGCTGGTGATCGATCACATCCACAGGGTGAGGACATTTACACCATGTTGGATTTACTGACTTCAAAGGCAGAACATATTGGTTGCTTTCAGGAAATGGATTTATTATTGTGAGATCCTGGAGATGATGAGAAATTTGATCTGTCGGTTATTATTGCCGTGTTCTGAATTAAGGTTGCAGTACTCTTTATCCAACCTGTTGGATGGAGAAATGAAGATTGTTTGTGGTGTAACAACTATTAGACTACATAAACAAGATTGAAGATGAATTTGGAGTGCCTAGATGTTGGAGTATGTCATCTCAAGCAATTTGATACTGATCTTGGTCTCCATGAGTATGTGGTACTGTGCTTTGATCCATTAATCGCTGTAAAATGTGGGATTTATTATCAGTGGCATTCACAATGTGCAAATACTAACAGAATGTTGGACAGGTTATGGTATCCACTTCATATGTCCTTTTAATCAGTCCATAAAATTCAACTTGTCTATTTTTTGAAATATTTGAAAAGCCTTGCAACTTCATTTGAGTCTTTTTATAAAGAGGAGGGGATCTACACTACTTTTCTTTTGGTTGTTAATGGTTGAATCTTTAATTTTTTGATTATTATATTAATTGGAAGTGAATAAGTACAAAAATGTCTTCACAGTACATAAGCTGATTTACAAAGAAGCCCAGTACAAATGCTGAGCCCCTGTAGTAGTGCCAAAAGTTCTGCCTTCACTGAATTTGCAGTACGAAATGGTCCTGTACATAAAACCTGTATCCTAGTCTCTGAGTTTCTAATTCCACCCCCTATTCTTGCCAACCCCAGTTTGTCCATGTGCTCCCATCAAAGTTCAGTTTTATTTTAGCACCTACTGGGGGTTTCCATTCCATTCTTATCTTTTTTTCCTTAGAGGAATGTGCTACCTCCCTCCAATTCTTTATAGTGTCAGACATTGAGAACTTGTTGAAACTATCAGTGGTTTTTACCCAAGTAAATGTTCAAGACTGCTATCAGCCTTGAACCCTAATAGATTTCAGGTTCAAAAAAGGAGAAAAAAGTATAGAGGAGAGAGGAGAAAGAGTAGAGAGATAGCAGTAGAACACAAGAATTGAAAGGAAGGACAGAATCTGAATGTTCTGTCGCCGCCACTTCTATTTAGTATTTATAGGTTATGCTAGTTACATGAAAGGACAAATCTGCCCTTGGTATTTACATAACACATAAAACAATATAAAACTGAAATATAAATAACAACTGGAATAACAGATTG